TCATGCTTATGCACTAGAAATTAAGCCTCTTGAAGTGTAACATTATCCCCTCTAGAATAGTATTCTGTAACAGATTTCTTAGGTGCATTGTTCTAGCCTTAGATTCAGTCACAAAGTGATTCTCTATAGTCTTCCAAATATCAAAAGCACTCCTACACTTAGCCATTTTTTGAACATTATTGATTCAAAAATTAAATAAAACAACCAACTTATAAGAAATTGATCAATTCTTTTCCACAACAGATATTCAGGATTAGAAACTTTAACAATTGAACCTGAAGTTTCATTTTTAAAAACAATAAAAGAAGAAGGACAAGTTCGAGTTCCAATTACAAAACATTTAAGCTCAAATGAAGTTGATGCTGGCAATACCATAGCACGCCAATAATTATAATTTTTCTCAACCAGCTTCATAGAAGTTGTTGGCAAAGATGAAGGAAAATTGAAGGCAAACATTTGATCACTGGAATTGGAACCTTTTTCTGTAGTTTTACCCAAGAGTTTTCTCAAATATATTTGATGTAATTGAGAAATAGGCCCTGACGTTAGTGTGTGGCTTTGATACTATGATAGATTTTGATATGCTAATTTTACTGAGTCGAGAAAGTGCAAGGAAATGCAAGAAAAACAAGGAAAATACAGAGAGTTTGAGAGAATATGACTAAACTTCAGTAAGAAACTGTACTCATTAAGAACCAAAATGAGTACAATTTAACTTTTATACAACAATGAGGTGGTTATTAGGAATCTAACAAGCTGATGTGATCTAAGGCAACCATTTTCCGCTCCTTAACATGCAAAACATGTGCACGGTTTATTGGTTTTTTTTTTTTTAATTTAATTATTTTTAGCATTTATTCTACTTGTAGGCCAGTTGATGTTTGTTCTAAACAAAGATTTGGGTGGTCGGAGCTACTTTGAAAATTTCATCAACTTCCTAAATTTTTCTATTTAGTAATTGCCTGTTCCTAATGAAGTTGTTCTTCCTGTCACGGAGTCTATTGCTTTACCTAATTAATTGGGTAATAGGTTTTTTTTTTTTGTCTTTTTCTTGGGATAAATCCGTAAATTACATAAAAAGAATCAAAATATACAAAGCTCCCCTAAGAACAAGAGAATAACTTGGGCATGCCCAAAAATTCCCCTCAACGAAGGCCAAGAGACACTAGGCCTAACCAACAAGCCTAACCAAAGCCCATAACAAAAACCAAACACTAAGCTCAAAAACTATGCAAAAATAACAAAGTCCACTTCATTTGGGCCAAACCATTAATCCAGCCAATCAGATCATTTTCCTTCTGAGAGTTGCCCAAACCATATCCTCAGAGATACAGTGTTTGTAGTTGGTTCTGTAGCAAACCATCAACTATAAAGCATACCACAACAGCAAGACCTATCCGCATCCTTAACCACGTCCCATGGCACACACCAATCCCACCAGACATAGATCTTATTAAACCAAATGTTGTAGGAACTGTTTGCTAACATCATCATCCACAAAGGGAACCAGATTCCCTCCCCAATCCATATAAACATCAAAACCGAGAACAAAAACTCCATCTCATAGTACTTGGCAAGCTTAAATTCAACTAACTTCCTTTCAAAACACATGCGAATCTACTCATTCTGTTAAATTCAAGACATCTTATAAGTTATACCCATCTTCTGTTAACCATCAACTAACTTCCTTTCAAAACACAAGCTCAATTCTTCTTTTCTCACGGTAGCAGGTGCAATGTTTTCATATTTATATATATTTCAAAAAACAGAGCTCCTACCTTTACCACATTAAACATTTCGAACATTAATTTCTTTTCAATTATTTTGATAGGTAAATTTTAGTGAGTCAAGAAATGCAAGAAAAACAGAGAGTTTGAGAGAAAATGACTAAACTTCAGTAAGGTATGAATGAAATAGAGACGACAGCGAGAACAAAACAACAAATCACAGATAATAAACACAGAGAAAATAACACGCGCGATTTACTCTGGTTCACCCAATGTGGGCTACGTCCAGCTGAGTCAATATTATTGCAATATTTCCGCACCTTTCTCTCTCGTTTACAATGAATGAATTGCCCTATGATTTGCTATCACACTCATAACAAGAGAAAAATATGTTTGTATACTAGGTTTAAGTGAGTAAACCTAGTTTACAATGATTCTTATTCCTAAGCCCAACCCAAGAAGAAATTAATAATTTAAGGAAATCCTACAGCGGTTATACATGGAAAAGACCCGAAATGAAAGCTGTATAACTCCAAACTCAACTATTAAAATAAAAAACCAACCGTCTAGATTGAAGAGCTAAATGTCCTATGCGTTCTGACCAAAATCAGGTTGATCAGACTAGAGATGACCTTCCTATCGTCAGGTTGAAGAAGGATAGACGGATTAAAAATTTTACAACTCAACTCTTTGATTACACTGTCTTTTTAAAGGCGAAACTCCACAAAAAAGATGGCTATCGTGAAACTGATCGTTGGATGTGAAGATCTTGCCAACAACAATGCTTTGAATTTGAGCAAAAATGGAGCATGGATCATCGTCGGAATAACTTGATGTGGCTTCATCTCTCATTTCTATAGATTTTTAATCTGTGAATAACACAACCATCGCCATTGCACACCCTTTAGACCACCACCACAGCAAACCAGTTGACAACCATTGCCCACCCATTGGCCTCCAATGCAACACCACAACATGCAAAGTGCAACACATTTCCGTTGCACCCACAAGATCCACAGCACATCCCCTTCGCACCCACACCACACCTTAAACAACCACTACCAGCACATCAGCCACAACAAAACCAGATCACCAAACAAATCAACTTCACAAGATCCACAACAACACCATCCAGGTTTAAAACAAGCTCCCTAGCCCAAATTGATACATAAAAAAACACCCAAGTGCCACTGTTGATAAGGAAGTCTGGCCAAACAAACACAATAGGACGACACTGTTTGGTTTGTAGATTACTTGCGTGGTATTAAAGATAATGATGTACAGGAATATGGTGGGGTAAGATTAATAATACATTGGATGGATGAATTTAAAATATGATATCTATCAAGTTAACTTGTGTTTTTGAATGATTTGGCATGTCCATTTTGCTTTTTTCTCGCGTCATTTTTCAGGTTGTAAATGTAAATGAAATTGTAGCATTGACAACTCAAGAAGTAAATTAGGGGCTAATGAACCCGTATGTGCAGATATGTGGTAGTGAAGATTGCATATTCTTCTATAAGTTTGTCACGCATTTCCTATCGGTCCTCTGCTGTAGATATGGTTTCTGTAAGCTAAACAATTAGTCTATTTACCAAAAGGAAAGCTCTTTTCCTTCCTATGTTGTGTAGCCAGCTAAGCTCATAGTTGCTACTTCAGTGTTTCCGTTAAATGAGAAAACACCAGAACCTCTGTTGGTTGGTGTGGACGAGGCCTCCAAGGTTGCAACTATGAGGATGCCTGCATAGCATTCACCTCCACTAGACTGGTAGTGGTTGGATGTCCAGAAATTGGATAATGATCTAAATCTCCTTAAGATGCATAGCTTTGTTTTAACTCATAAAATATATGATGCTAAAAGAAGCTCATCTTCCACAAATTAGAATTTAGAATACTAGCTCAGGGATTTTCTGGTTGCTAGAGCTCTGCACCCATCAAAAACCGGGAAAAAGGTGAAAAGGTAAATCAGTTAAAAACTTTCATTTAGTGAAACAGGAAAATTAATAGCACACTACAATCTGAAATTGTATTAACAAAGATAAGATTATCATAAAACAAATAGTTAACAGCAATTCCAAATTCAAAGCTGGAAATAAACTTCTGAGATTGATTCAATTAAAATGTGCATGCAAGAAGTGCATCTCGGAACTGTAAAAAGACAAACCAACGAGACAGTAAAAAGATACCTGCAAGTCAGGCTGATACATTCTGTGTCTAAAAGGCCAACTAAGTGTCCTCTCTGATCCTCAATATGCTCCAACACAACTGGAACTTGACTTATACCATGCCTGTTCATAGTCATTAAAACAGAAAGAAGGTCTAGTAGTAGCTGTCCATGGCACTCGACATTTTTCACCATCAAAGCATATTTCAGATACTAACAGCTCCTGCAACAGCATCAGCCAAGTAAGCAAGATCACATGCATGACATGAGTTAACAAACATCTAAAAGACAGTTCTCAAGACACTCGTCTCAATATTTTCAATGTAAAATTAGAGCAGAAACTTTATTAAAGTAACCCACATAAGTCTACCAGAGGTAGGAGGAAGTTAATTGATGGAGCAGATGGAAGTTAACTGATGGTTTTGAATTTTGGGCTTCGCATTTGAAACTATGGGCTTATGGCCCAGTGTCAGTTGGACCCCAACTCTGAACACAATATACCATAATTACTCAGAGCAGTCTTTTATTTTCTATAATCTCTATATTCACATTAGCTTATCCATAACCTGCACTACACATTAACATATATGATCATATCAAGTGATTAGACACTCGCACATATATGATATACCCATCTCAGTAAAGAAATTGGATAATCATCTATTGCTCTTCTTGCTTTGTCTTCATCAACTATCATTGAAAGAGCACATGCTTTTGCATAACTACATTAGAGACACACCTGGTAAGTTCTAGTCTTTATCAGACTTGAAGTAAAAAAATATATATTGAGAAACAGAAGCATTTGAAACACTATCAGGCCTAGATATTTGAGAATATCAATGAATGAAGTTAATCAGTTGCAACATACCATCGTCCAGTGAGCTTGAACAGATGAACTTGAGCAGCCACCATTATTGTCATAGTTGAAGTAAGAACCATTCAACAATTTCTCTTCTCAATCATCCCCATCAAATTCGAACAGATGAAAGTGTTTACCGTACCTTCTTCTTACCATAACCAAAATAGAGCATTTGGGCAGCTGGATGAACTTTTGCAGGATTCTGCTCTGAAATTTTTTTATTACTTGCTTAAGTTTTATCACGTAAACTTCAATTTTGCTTTTGGACCATAAATTTAGGAAGCTGGTTCAAACATTCACGATAATTTCCGGCCTTTATTAGTAATTGCATGACTAAGGACATTGTACATTCACTCGGCTTCACATTTCTCTCCGCCATCTTGTGAAGGAGTTCAACAACTTTTGGTATCTTATTATTCTTGAGGAAACCGAACATGAGCGTATTAAATGTGACTACATTTGGAGCACAACCCTTTTCCTCCATATATGATAACAACTCATTTGCCTTCTCTAGTTGTCCATTTTTACACAGCCCATTGATCAAAATACTGTATGTTACAACATCTGGCAGTAGGTTTCCATGAAGAGAAAATTTCTGAAATAGGCCCAAAGCAGTTTCGAATCTCCCTGTTTTACATAATCCATCAATGAGAGAATTCAAGCTTGTCAGGTCAATTGCAAATTTATTATCTACTAGAGTATAAAACATTTCCACCGCTTCCAAAACACATCCATTCTTGCAAAGTCCATCAATGAAAATGCTATATGTCCAGGAATTGGGAAAAGCACCGTTAAGTTGCATCACACCAACTAAATTCCGTGCATCTTTTACCTTAGCTTTAAGAAAAAGGCCAGTTAACAAAGAGTTATATGTAATCACATTAGGCCTAATTCCTTCTGAAATCATCCCTCAATAAAGCCTAAGAGCTTCGTTGACTTCTTTATTCTTGCAATACCAATTGATTAAAGTACTGTAGCAAACAACATCAGGTCTATACCCATTTCTAGTTATAGAATCAAACAACTCCCTTGCATCAATAATTCTATCTACCAAGCAATAACTATTCATTAAAATGCTGTAAGTATAGATATCAGGATCCACACCTCTTTGCATCATAAGTTCCAAAAATAATTGTCTAGCCTTCTCAACCAATCCAGCCTTGCAAAGACCATCAATTATAATATTATAAGTAACAACATTTGGCCTACAACTAACACCAGATTCTTCATTCCCCTTAGCCATTTCTTCATATAACTTAATGGCAACACTTAGGTTCCTTGTTTTACACAATCCATCAATCAAAGTCCCATAAGTAATCACAGTAGGCTTACAACCAATAGCAACCATTTTCTTAAACAATTCTATCGAGTCCATAATCTTTCTCTCTACACACAGACCTTTAATCAAACAATTAAAAGTCACAGCATCCGGGCTGAAACCCTTCTTCAAAATCTCCCCAAAAACGGCAAAACCATCAGAAACCCTTTCAATTTTACACAAGCAATTGATCAAAATATTCATTGACATAAAATCTGGAGACAACCCAGTTGAATCCAACAGCTTATAAAGCGAAATCACTTCATAATAATGCTTCTTCTTTGCAAGTGCAATAAACAAAGTAGTGAATGATGAAATTGGAGAAATGGGTTGCGAACTAATCATATAATAAAAAAAGTACAATGCTTCGTCAGAGTAAAGTTACTTGACCGACAATTTCCCATGAGGAATTTACCAAGTGAGGATCGTTCAAGGGGTTTTTCGAAAGAATACAAAACTTCATTTTTGGAGCTTGAAGTTGTGAGGCTGCGTAAATGAGCTAACAAAAACAATACATTAACTTTGAGAGACGGGTTTTGAGAGATTGAAGACGAGCGAAATGGGGATCTCCAAGCCATGTATGAAGAGTGTTTTTGTGGGTCGTTGTTACTAAGCAAGGTCATTGCAAAATGCAAATACATGAAGAGAAATGTTTTGACAAATCTCACAAACAACCTTTAAGTTTTTCAAAATGTTAAACCACCTTCATGATTTCGAAAATTGTTCACTTAGCACCCTGAAGGTTAAAAATTTAACTCCACGTTCAGATGCTTTTTGGTTTGAGGTGGTTTTCTACTAAATCCAAAATTATCTAGTTGATCAAACAAAATGCGGGGCAAATGATTAAAAGGCCATATTGGCTTTGAATTTAACTAAAAGGCCATCTAGTATTTTAGTCTTTACTAAATGACCTTATTTTTTATTAAGACAAACTAATGACAATTAAACACTAATCATGGCTTAATTATGATTAATGAAGTATTGTGTAATCTTTTAAAAATTATGTATGTCCCAAAAAACCTGATATTCTTGCAAACAAACCCAAACATAACATCTTCTTCTTCTTCATCTCGCCATTAATGCATCCCTCCATGGTTGTTGTTTATTCTAAGCTTCGTACACATCTTCTTCTTCCTTTGCATCTTCTTCTTCCTCTGTATCTTCTTCTTCCTCCTTCATGTACATCTTCTTTTTCCTGCCATTAACACTATCTTTTTCCTCTGCCATTAACATCTTCTCCGCCACAGATCCTTCTCCTCCTCCTCCTCCTCCTGACATTTCGTTCAGGTATGTGTATCTCCCTTTCCATTTTATATTTCGATTTACAAAGATTTAATGATGGATTGGGTTTGGGTTATGATTTTGATATAGTTGTTTAGGTTGATGCGTTGTGTTTGATGTATGCAAGTTGAAAGGAGTGAAGTTTGTTGAATATTTTCTTGTATTGTGGGTAGTTAGGGGTGGTAGCACCGATTATAGGTGGAGATGACTGAAAATGTGTTCTGGATATGATGGATCGCTTAAACGATCTAGTATGTTTGGTATAATGCAGCAGATCGTAGATCGCTTAAGTGAACAGGTATATGGTAGAAGATCGCTTAAGTGAACAGGTATATGGCAGAAGATCGCTTAAGCGATCTTCTACAAGTCTGGTATATGGCAACAGATCACTTAAGCGATTAGGTAAATGGTAGAAGCGATATACTAGATCACTTAAGCGATACACCAGATGGCTCAAGCGACTCTACAGATGCTTTTTAAAATCTTTCAACCCTTAATACATTAGATAATAATATTTGTTTTTTCTAGCATTATAGGTACTTGACTATTATTAGACATGAGACAAGTTGTTTTGGGTGTTGAATATTTTGGTGAGTGGGTGGAGGAAGAAAGTTGTTGGAAGTGGATTGGGAAGAGCAAAGAAGTTATACCAATTGCTATGAGCACATATGTTAGTTTTGATGAGTTGATTGATGAAATAATTAGAAGATGTGATTTGAGTTGCTCACGCAGTAATATAGTTGTGAAGTATGTTTTAAGTAGAGTTCCTGAACATTATAAGATATCTTCTGCTATATTAAAGTCAGATGAAGGTGTGAAGTTATATATGATTGATGTGGGTGATAATAGTTCGAGGCCGATTTTAAGGGTTTCTTTTGTAGATAAACCGTTGGAAGTTGGTTTAAAGGAAAGGGATAACGAGGAAGTTGGTAGAGAGAATGCTAGTTTTAATTTGAACTATAAGGGCATTGATTTCTTAGTTGAAAAATCAAGAGTAGGTGGTGATTTAGGTAGTGAGGAGGACATTGTAGAAGAGGTTGGTCATGTGCGGCAAAATGAAAATGTTGAGGAGGAGGACCCCGTACATGTTCCCGCAGATGTAGAGATACCTTTAAATACAGATTATGTAAAATGTGTAGTTTGTGAGGAAAAGGAACACTATGGTTCCTTATGCAGGTTCAAAGGTATCAATTGTAAGTAGTAGTGAATCAGCTCATGTTTTTACTGATGGATCGAACTTGTGCATAGGGTATTTATTTGACAACAAAGAGGAAATGGTAAGGAAGCTAAAACTTGTTACCGTGAGAGGTAATTTTGAGTTTATCACCAAAAAGTTTAATTCACCGGTAGTAACGGTTGTATATCGTGACCGAAAGTGCAAGTGGCGGGTTTATTATAGAAGGTTTGTAGAGTCCGAAAAATTTATTGTTAGCACACATGTGGTTTGGGACATATTTCAGATGAGCATCGAGAAGCCTCTGTCTATGTTATTGGACAATTTGTCAAAAGTTAGTTTGTTGAAGGGAAAGGTCCATCTCTCAAGGACATTTAGAGACTTGTGCGCATAGAGTTGGGATGCATTGTTAGTTATTGGAAATGCTGAAAAGGGAGACAACATGCACAAGATTTTGTGAGGGGCACCTCAGAGCACATGTATGCAGTATTAGAAGCGTATCGTTATACGCTTAAGTTGACAAACCAAGGTAGCAAGACGGCTTTGAAGTAAGACAAGAATATAAGGTTCAAATATTTTTTTGTTACTTACGGTGAGCTATAAGGGGTTTTGTAAACATGAGAAAGGTATTGGCTATTGATGGTTTTTTTTTTTACGGGAAAGTATGAAGGTACATTGTTGGTGGCCACTGCACAGGACAACGAGAATCACACATATCCTGTTGCATGGTGTGTGTTTGACTATAAGAACGACAAGTCGTGGACTTTGTTTTTTTAGCAATTATGTACGATAATGACTAATAGTGACGAGTTGTGCATAATATCCGATAGACACAACTCTATAAAGAAGGAGATTGCCACTATTTACCCTCAAGCACATCACAGATTCTGTATGAGGCACCTTGGTGAGAACTTAAAACAAAAGTTTAAGTGTGTTAGCCTCCTTTAAACATACTATATGGTAGTAAAAGCTAATTGAGTTGATGAGTTCGAGGAGCACTTCTGGCAAATCCGAATCAAGGATGATAGAATTACAATGTATCTTGAGCATGATGTTGGTTTCGAGCGACGGAGTAGAGCTTACTTTCCCAGAAGAAGTTTTGATGTTGTGACAACGAACATAGCTGAGTCCATAAATTTGAAGTTGTTAATAGAAAAAGAGTTTCCAATAGTTTCCATTTTTTATGCAATCCAGAGGACATTGTCATGGTGGTTCCATGAGCATCGTACGGAGTTAAATAATTTTACTACAACCCTTGTTCCGTTAGCTGAAAAATTATTGCGAGAACGTATGGAATGGTCAAATGCACTGTTTGCCTATCCTCTTAATGCTCAAGAGTTCACCGTGTGCAGCTATGATTCAGATGCCCTAGTTAACCTTCTTAATAAAATTTGCAGCTGTAAAGTGCTTGACATTCAACGTTTACATTGTCCTCTGCACTAGCAACATTAAAACACCAATGGAAACCGGATTTTGGTTCAAGAATTTACATGGAACTTTGCTTCCCTCTCTATATGGCAAATCACTACATGCTGGCTTATTCGAAAATGATATATCTAGTTACTTCAGAAAAGCAGTGGGTGGTGTCGGTAGAGTTGTTTCACATTATCATCCATCCACCATTTGAGAAGACAGAAAATAGGAGAAAAAGAGTTAAGCGTATTCCATCAGCCTGGCCTGTGAGGTTCCCCGAATGATGAATAAGGGCTCAATTTGCAAGCAACGTGGCCACAAGAGAAGTAGTTGCCAAAATCGATCACATGTAGATCTAGAAAATTAGGTTCGAATTGATCAGTAGCTTGAAAGCAAGCAATCTGCAGATAAGATCGGATCGCTTAAGCGACATAAGATCACTTAAGCAATCGGCTATTATCTGCAGATCTGAACAGCAGATCGTTTAAGCGATCTTAGGTCGCTTAAGTGATCTGATGTTCAGATCTACAGATAACAGTCGATCGCTTGAGCGATCCTTGGTCGCTTAAGTTATCTGCTCTTATCTACAGATCTGAACATCAGATCGCTTAAGCGACCTAAGATCGCTTAAATGATCTATTGCTCAGATTAGATCTGAACACTAGATTGCTTAAGCAATCTGCTGCTCAAATCAGATCTGGTGACCACCAAATTGCTTAAGCAATGTACGGTCGCTTAAGCGATCTTTTCTTATATGTAAATCTGACAAGCAGATCACTTAAACAACCAAAGATCGCTTAAGCAATTTGATGAAGTTATTATCTTTCTCTTTTGTGTGCATTAAACTGATTTTATGTCCCTGTAGTTCTAGCTATGTCATCAAGAAGAAGGATGAAATCGAGAGAGTTGCCAAGGCCAACCGTTGAAAAGTTGTTGTTTTCAATTTTTTTATGTTTTAAATATAATTATTACCTTGAATAAATCATCATTTATAACGTATTAAATCAAATTAATTATTTTTCATTTTCATCCATTTTAAAAAGGGTTTAAGTAAGTAAAATTTCGCATGTTACCTCTGTACGACATTGATTGCTGCCCAAAGAAGAAAGACAAGCAAAATAAATATTATCAACATAATTGTCGTATCAAGACAATCAATCAA